CTCTCTCTCTCTCTCTCTCTCTCTCTCTCTCTCTCTCTCTCTCTCTCTCTCTCTCTCTCTCTCTCTCTCTCGTCAGCTTGTGAGATCTAGCAACTTTTAGCATAATGAATTTAGCAGGGATGCCTTCTCTACACAGTCCATCAGGCCTGCCATCTAGGAGATTAAATTATGTCTGTAAGCATTAAAGCTTTGATGCTGTATTTGGGCGGCATGCATGCATCCATTTGCAAAATTCTATATAACAAAATTAAAAACATGGACACCTATGGAAAATGGCTTGGCACTAGCACTTAAACCCAACCACTCCAAACAGTCTGCTGACTAATGCATTTCTAATCATTTCTGTGATCAATGTTAGCTACTGTGCAATAAGATTAATCAGCCATATGCAAAGCTAAGATCACCTTGAACAAGAAAAGAAGAAAGAAAAAAGAGGTAAAAGGACAGAAAGAAAGTGTCTTAGCTATTATGTATGATAAGCACACTATACAGAAATAAAGCGCACCTGCATTATTCACAGGTTTTTTTCATGCTGATGGTTTTGTGTGTGTTTGAGCGGCATTACACCGTTGTGCTCCCCTCAGCTGTGCTTTGGCATCTGTGCGTGGCCATCTCACTGCTGAATAGCTGCCTGATTATTCCAAATCTAAGGGAATATTCAAACAAGGCTGATAATGCATTCTTCCATATGATTCTCCAGAGCTGGGACAGCTGTTCGGCAGCTTTCAATGCCATGTTCAGAAAGGGACAGATTTCTCTGCTCAATTAATAGGCCCCATTAAAAATCAGGGGGAAGTTTGACAAATGAAGCAGAGATTTAGTTTGTCTAAGACAGAAGGCTTCACAATCACTATCCCATATACAGTAGCTGATAAATAGCTACAATTTAACAGAAATGATTCATAAATTAATGTTTAACCTCTATAATCAATGGCTACACGGAATTCCAATAGCCATGTAGGCAAACTTGGTTTATTTATTGATATCTGCTTCTGTAAGCACACAAAGCCTGCACTATACGAGGAGTGTCGTTTACATTTGCAGACAATAACTGTCAGTAACTTCATCACCAATGCAGTTGTCCAAATCAAACAGATTACAACCAGGTCAATTTCACAAACCTGTCTTACAAAATGATAAAACTCTAATGACAAGAATTTGTCAGCTGTATCAGACAGAAGGAATTACTGCAGATCAGTGTGTCTTTGTTCACTCACACACAGGGATCTGAGAGCGCAGAGTGCTGCTGCGATGCCGGTGCCTGAAAGTTTCAACAGGCAGATGAATTCTTTCAGTCTGGCTCTCCCCGTCTCCCTCTCCCTCTCCCTTTCTCTCCAGAACAACGAGGAGGTTGTCTGTCCAAGGGCACACCTGTAAGGTGCAGACCCTCGACAGGCTTACCTCAGTGGCCTCTCCTGCTGTACTCAAAAGGCAATTATTCCTCCCAGAAGATAGAGCACCGTCAACTTCAAACAGAAGACATTCTTCAGGCAGATTAGACTAAAATTATGTTTTATTATTTGGCCCTGAAGAATGAATTGGACTCTATTTGGTCGTCTTTGTGGTGAAATCCAAGACAGTTTAAATGCAGAGGTATGTTTGGAGTCAGGGTAATACTCTGGTGTCTTTATGAAAGGGCAGTAGAGAGGATCAGATTAGAAGCCGAACAGCGAGAGTCTTTCAGTGCGGCTGTGCTATCATCTCTGTCTTCTTGTCCATGCCTGTAGAGAGGTTAAATTAAATGGCTGTAATAAATGTTTCGGTCTTGCTGATGTGGTATGGCTGGCTATCAAACGAAAACACTGTGGAGAAACGGCATGGTGGAAGATCAGAGAGAGGAACAAATGGATGGGTGGGAAACTATGTCAGCACATTACCAACATTAGAAACGGACTTGTTTTCACTTAAACCTCAATTATAATGGTGGCTCCAGAAACAATTATATTGATGAATGCTTTCTAAGTTACTGTAATTAAATTATTCCATTTAATTAACAAATTATATTGAATTTCTCCCCAGAGGACGGCATTAGCCTCATCTGCTGTTTTACAAACAGGAGTACTCTAATGTTGTGTGCTATGGAAATGATTACTAATGCCTAATGAAACTGTGTCAGATCAGATACATGCTGTATAGAGTCAACAAGCCAAGCCTGTAACACAGCCAAACTTGAGACAAAATAATAAAGCCAAAGAAGAAATTATTGATTGTTTTTTTTCAAGGGCAGGCTTTGTGAATCTGACATCAAATAAATTAGTATTCTGAGTGCCTACTCGAGGTCTTAAAGAGAAGATAGAAAGTTAAAGAAAATGTGTATTGAGCAAGCTCTAAAAAACTATTTTGTACGTTTGTTTAATTTGCAGTGAAAATAATTTGGTTCTTTTATGTACTTTTAATTATCCTAAAAACACACTCAGACATAAATAATACTTTGATAAATCTTTATTGCACAACATGAAACTGTCAATTGACTGCAAACATCCCATTACTGTTTCCACTGGCTGGCTATAGAAGGTAATTATACACAATATAAAACTGGAATGCATTAATAGTGTTGATTTGATGCTTCAGCAGTACAAAGCAAGTATGTAAACTCACAAATGAATTCCTCTGCAGCTGACCATTGCCCTCTGGTGGGAGTGCCAGGCACCTGTTTTAAGATATAACATAAGATCTCTTTGTATCTCTGTGTTAGACTAACTGTCAGAACATTTCAACTATTTACAAAGAAAAAAAGCTGCTCACAATCATTCACAAGCTATTTGTTATAAGCAATCTTACAAACAAAATACAAAATGATTTGATCCCTTATTGAAAGTGTTTTCCCCTCTTGTGCAATTGCAATGTGCTGCATGTGTTTATTGTCCTATCCCCTCGTGGCTTGGCCATATTAGTCCATGTCAGAGGAGCCAGGAGTTGTGATGCTGTAAGCACATACCGTGCATTCCCTCTCCTCCGCTGTGCAGTTGTTGGGCATATTGTGAGGTTTTAATGCGGGGGATATGGAGGAGGGCTCGGCTCACATTCGCTGTGCAGGAAGAGCCACAGCCAAGAATGACAGTTGCTCCTCTTGGAGCTGAGACATCCATGGATTTAAATTGCACTCAGAAAGGTCAGCACATGACAAGCAATCAATCAGCTCCTAATTGGATGATCAGCAACCATTTGAATATGTGTTTTACTGCATCATGAGACATTTAAATAGGTGAGAATGTTCTTGGTGAACACTCATTCTGATTATATTAGTGCTTTGGAGTATTTCCATTGTGTGGAAACATCACATAATACAAATACATGATTTAGAAATTAAGTAGAAACAAAAATAGCTAATAATAGTCAAAATGATAATTAACTTTATTTATAATGCATGTCTCAAAACCAAGTGTACAACATAATGTGTTATACAAGAATAGCACATTAACAGACAAAACAAAGCCAGAAAAGAAAACAAATGGAATTGAAATTATATGAGGTAAATTAGACATAATAATAATTATAAACAAAAATGTATAATACTAAAAAAACATACACAAACTTTGAGTTACTCTATAGGAGAGGATAGAAGACCCTGTGATCCTCGGGTCAAAAAAAGTGGGGGCCAGGGGAAAAACAACCTGTCACTCACAAACCCCTAATAAAAAACAGTTGGTGAAAAAGATTTTTCAGTGTATGAATAGTAGGAACATTTGTATAACACATGCTGTATCAATAGCTTTAAAAGACATGTTTGAGTTTCACTTCAGATCTGATCCAACCTCATTCTCCTTTAAAACATGTTGACTCAGGCCTAGTGGGTGCAGTTACAATACTTTAATAAGGACACAAATTGCCTGAAGAAGAACATGAATGGGAGTGGCAGAAAATGTCACATTAAAAAATAAAACCTTTTCTCAAAATATAATGCCACAGAGCCACGTCCACACATCTGTGCCAACATTGTGGCATACCTGTGTTTCCAGTTCCAGCATGTTGCAATGGCACTATCATTATCATGGGGCAATACTTCATACACCTGTGTGGGAAAAAAACACAACCCTGACAAGTGAGTTCTGTGTTGTTAAGCCGAGGTATAAAGCTGCTGTCACTGAGATCTCAAGAAGCCTGGGGTTGGATTACCGAGTGTGTTTACATGCTGAGCGAGATATTTAGAGTATATCCATGGATGTAAAGAAGGAGAACAAATACTGATACTAATATCAAATATCAAAGTTACCACAAGTAAGTTTACAAGGTATGTAAGAAGTACTTTAACGCTGAATTGCATGTGAATTGTGTTAATTATTGGGAAAAGATTTGAAAATGCAGGTTTAGTATGTATCATCATTGCTGAATGTACTGTAAGTGTACCCTGTATTTGAGTGAAATGCTATTCTGATGGAAACATCCACTGCCAGTATGAGTGCAGGCTTCACTGCTGGCTTAAGAATGTTGGCATCAAGTATGCAGTCCTGACAGACAGCTGCACTGCAGTGGCGTTTTTAACATGCCAGACCAGGACCCAAGCGTGCTGGAGGCTCTAAAGAAAATCCAAAACGGCATTAAAAATACTGATAGGGAAAAACTTCAGTCACTGTGGCGGCAGGTGAGACGCTGATAAATCATCAGTTTGAATGTGTCCATTGAGGCCTATAAGATAAAACATGACTTAATCAACCTTTGAAATAAAAATGTGGACAAATCTGATTTGAATTCAAGTTTTACTTCCAACCCCTCGTTAGCTCTCAAATTACACGAGTCACATGAAAGTCAAGAAAGCCACTGAGCCTGTTTAACATGATGGGGAGCTCTGATTAAACTAATTATACTGACTCATTCATTAAGAAGACTGCAAATAAACTGCTATTTTATGGACACAAACACTTGACACTTTCACAATTAGCTCTTTATACGCAGTGTTTAGTGTTATTTCCTTTAAACCATGTCACCTCATCATACTGTACAACCACAGCTTTCATCACACAACGTGTTTCCCGATCTCCTGTTCGGGTTCGTCCTGTTTATTTTGTCCACCATCAGCCCCGCCCTGCAGACGCGCTGATATCACGCAGTTGCGTAATTTGACAAGCCAGCGCAAAATAGGGAGAATGAACGTTTGACAGCTGGCTCTTTGCTCGTACAGATTGTTTCGTAACAAAACAATACTTATGCTTAATTCATTCGTGAACGATTTCGGATAGTCGGGACCGTACCTCTGCTTTTATGGCCGCTGCCGTGAGGAATAATGTTTGGGTTGCTCCGGGGCAGGACGCGCTGTTTCTCCATAAACACACCGCGCCACTGACAGACGGTCTGAGAGGTGAAGATCATGGACAAGTGCTCTGTAACACGAGGGATGCGATCCCGGGAACTTCCTCTTTCCATGATTATAATTTGGTATGGGATTGCATTTTTCGTTTGCATCTGCCTCAGAGCGTCACATTGTTTACTGATGCTTGCTGTTTTTACGTATAACCCCTGTAGGTTGCTGATCAGAGCAAAATGCAGTCTGTTTCCATGTTAAGATGTACAGTAAGCCTAAAATCGGAGGCAGGCCTGTATGTTTGTGTTATTATATTCACGGAACATATTCGCTGTGAGTGTGTGTATCGATGCTGACATTCAGCTTGAATCACAGGCAAGGCATGGCTGGGATGTGAAACGTTGCACCCGCTACCGAAACTTGTGAGGAAGAGATGCATAGCGCTGCAGAGCAACTGGATGTTCTAATTTCAGCCATGTATTTCCAAACAGCTTAAGCAGGACTGTTTCAGAAGGGCGTCTGCTGCTTGTAATGGGAGGGGGGGGTTTGATGTGATAGTGTGTAGGCATAGGCACAAGTGCAGGCCCCAAATGCATCCCCAGATTAATTCACACCACTTAGTTTTGTTATTTTGTAGGTCTTGAGGTGCAGCATCAGTGTAGAATAGTGGGTAGTCCTACCTTCTAGTCCTTTTGGGGGTGGATACAATATTGTTTTAAAGTAGAACAACAGTAAGATGCTTCTGAGACATCAAGGGTCCATCTTCCTGCCTTCAAGTGTTAAAATCTTTCTTACACCATTGCATTTGGATTAAAGCAACTTTACAAATGTACTTCTTTTTTGTGTTTCAGGGTAAATCCGAGATGGACAACTACCTATCCCACCACCAACAGGACATTGGGAATTCCAAAATGTTTTGCAGGGACAGCGCTCTGATGCTAGAGCCGCCATACAGCGAGGACTTCACCTCGCCGTACAGCGTCAACATGAGCCTGCTGGTTCCCGACGTCACATACCTGCACCCTGGTCTCTGCAGGACTATGAGACCCATCAAAACAGAGCCGTCTCACTCTCTGCACTCTCTGCTGCACCCCAGCTGTCAGGGCAACGGGGCGCCAACAACCCTCCAAGAATACCAAGGTGTTTTTAGTGCAGCCGACTCAACTGGCAGTACATTTTTCATCAAACAGGAACTGCCAGATTTCCAAGACGTCCCACTGTTTCAGCTTTTGAACTCTGACATGGAGCAGCTCGTCCATGGGTCACAGCTGAACTCAGTCACCCCATTAAGTCTTCCTAACGTCAATGTAGGCACAGTGCAGAATTTTGCTAAACACACAAGCAGTCCTCACAATGAATGTTTTCCATTCAATCGACACTCAGGCCATCAGCAGAGACCAACCTATTTGCCGCCCTCTCCGCCAAACTCTGATCCCCCGAGTCCAGACAGGGGGAAGGGGCTCCTACTCAATCTGTCCCCACCTCCCTCCTATGAAGCCAGCATCGCCTCAAAGCTACAATTTCACACCCATATTCCCATTAATCCAGGACAGACTTCCCGTGTATCAAACCAGAGTCAAGAACAGAATTCCAATGCTGGATTAGTCCAAAGCCCGGGTCCTGCGCCAGTCCAGCGCTCCAGCCTGACACCGGTCCAGACGGCGGCAGGTGTTGGCCCTCTGTCCCCAGTGTTGGCCCAATCAGCTTCAGTTAGGTACAACAGGAGGAATAATCCTGATCTGGAGAGACGGCGGATTCACCACTGTGATGTTCCAGGTGAGACTTCTGCCCAGTCTGCACAACAACAATAAAGTTAAATTTAGAGTTTTGCAGCACTATGATCAAGTAGGAGCAATAATATACACTTTTTTCCCCTTCAGGGTGCAGGAAAGTATACACCAAGTCTTCACATCTAAAAGCCCATCTGAGGACCCACACAGGTAAAAATAAATTGAGTTACACTTTTTTATTTTGGGGTGAAAGTGGTGATGTTGCCAGGCAGAAAAATGTACTTGGCATGCAGATGCATTCTGTCCGCTGACAGACCTGGCCCACATCTCACTGCTGTCAAATCACATAAACCCTGCAGCTCTCATAAAGGGGGCAGGGGAACAGACAGGACACGCTGTGATTTATGGCTCACTATTTGAGTCACAAGTATGAAAAAGTATCAGTTTATTTGTCATTGAAACTTATTTGTGATGTGTAGAAATATCCCAAACTTTTACGTAATGTTATTTCTTGAGATGTTTTAGTTTTTTTAAACGTCTGTCATATGTCAGCTGTAGCTTCATTTTGCTTCTTTTTTTAATCTGCTGTAGGAGAGAAACCGTACCAGTGCTCCTGGGAGGGATGTGAATGGCGCTTCGCCCGTTCGGATGAGCTGACTCGCCATTTCAGGAAACACACGGGGGTGAAGCCTTTCCAGTGTGGCGTGTGTAGCCGCTGTTTCTCCCGCTCGGATCACCTGGCCCTACACATGAAGAGACACCAGAGCTAGAAACTCCTTCATCAAGTTTTAATATTTAGTAAACACGGACTAATTACCCAGCACTTACATATCAGCAAACACATAACTGTGGGTTATCTCACACACTCCCCAGTGGGAGTGTAAGACAGTCTTAGCAGTGCTGGCCCACACATAATTGTTTCTTTTATTGTGAAAAGATTACATATTAACATTGCATTATTTGTACCCACAATTGGGGGAATTTTACAAAGGTCATTCAGAAATAAATAGCCAAATGTAATAATTAAAACATATTGAGCTTTTATTTCATTAGATTATGTTGCACTGCAAGTGCATGAACAACTTCAAATATCGTTGCTTTATTATCAAGTTTTTCATTGTATAGATAATATCAACATGTGTCATTTATTTAAATAACTGCCAAACTGTAAGTGCAGACGACTTGTGTTGAAAGGAAAAAGGTCAAAGAATATGATGTTTGAACCAGCAGGTCAAGATGATAATGTGTGTGTTAAGACAGTAACAGAATGTAGGTAAAGTTGTTCTTAAGCAGGTTTTAGATCAAGGAAAAGACACAGCTGGAGAACTAAATGTTGGACAGAGAGCTGTTTGCAGGCCGTGTGGTAGAAGTGAGTGCAGTGCTTAACTAACTTCAGCACTGCCAGATTTATGGGTTACCTTACCGTTGAGGATAACTCAAAACAAAATCTACTCATAACACTGAAAAGGAAGGATGAATAATGTCTATGGGGTATAAATCTAATTCATTTGGACAGCATTATGAATGTTTCTATATCTATGCCCCCTTTATATCGCCATTGCAGGAAGTGTTAAATGTCTTTGAGGAAGTCGGAGAGATAAATCAAAATGGTGCATTTTTTTATTTGAATACTTCTATAGTAGCATGATTTTTATTTAATTTTTTAAAAGGTTTAACTTATTTTGATAGGCTTGTTCTCCCTTGTTATCTTTGCATATATATAATGTCTAATTTGACACTAAATATACAACTGCTTTGAGTACATAACATTTCAGCAGCATTATTTTCTTTCTCCTGCAGTGTAATGGACAAATTAAGACGCATTGCTGGGCCTGAATGTAAGGTATCTTATTTCAGGATTATAAAATTACTGATGATTTATCCTCGTAAATTGTTTCATAATTATCTGACTGAGCACCTGCCAGTCTGAACATCTGTGTGAAAAGCGTGTGGTTCTTTTGACTGCTATCCATGTTTTCAAACACCTTTTGAAAGTGCCTTTAACTACTTTTTTTTGGTCCTGTGTGTTGGCTGTCCCTCTTATTTCCAATCTAGGGCAATCTCTATTCATGACCAAATGTATTTTAAATTTGATTCAGGTTGAACAAAACATTGTTATAATGTATATATTTTGTATTGGCTATTTGAGGATATCATTTAATAATTGTTTTTGGGTGTGTAAAGATTTTTAAATGTTTTTTTAATTGCAGAGAACTCTTTATTTTTATTTTTTCGGGCAAAGATAACATTTATTACAATGTATTCTGTCATCACTTTCTACAGCCAAGTTAGAAGCTCAGTGGATGCCAGTGTATTAATGCAATACTTTTTAAAATAAATATGTAAACACAAATATTTTGACATTAAAGACGTAACAATATGTTCATAATTGTAGCCTAACTTGATCAAATGTGTTATGAAGCCATGTCACTCTCAAAGTACAAATAAAAGATTTGTGTTGAATATTTGATTTGGAATGTCTGCTTTTTAAAATGTTGATACATGTAGATATAATTATCTTTGTGTGCTTCCTAATTGAGTTTGCATGTTTGACAGTATTTTTTTCACAGTTACAAGTCAGTTATATGGTAAAAATGTGATCAATAGATTAGTTCAAAATTCGTATTGTAAATGCTCCTTAGGGACTTGAAAAGAGTAAACAAGAACATAACATATTCATGTGGAATTTTTACAAAATGCACAGATGTTTTAACAATAAAACTAGTCCACTATTTGTATTCTTCCATTACAATTCTCAGTTTCATCCCCTTTGCTGCCCAAGGTTTTTGTTTTTGTTGGCACAGCAGCACTTTATTTGGTTTCAGTGTTTAGAGGTTATTAGGGAACACACCCTCTTTATGCACATGAGCTTGACAATTATGTGCAATCCAAAGAAAACAGGATGACTTCTTTTGTGTTGTAATTATTGTAAAGCGCCCTCGATATGAGTCATAGCAGAAGTGCTGACAAAAGGTGCCAAGAGGAGTTGTCTGAGCCTGCCCCGAGTGCCACGTGGAGATTGTTTTAGTATTATTTACTTATACACTCTACTTTGCTTGTACAGTATGGCCTACATAGTATGGCTCCTGTGAGTGATAAATCACATACGGCACACCAAAATACTAACCGGAGTGGGAATTGAAACCTTGTTATTGTAATCATCTGAATCCTTTGCTGGCTGACAGAAACATTAATCTACAGTAGACCCATATTATAAAAAAGTGCCGTACAGGATGTACTGGGAAAACCTGTTCTCAAAAACTCTATTCCCTAAACGTGTGTTAAAACAAATCATGTCTTAAAATACAAGAGGTAAAAATAAATAAACATTAGACTTGATTTTCAAGTACAAACAATTGTTTTTCAAGATGTTATCCTCTTCTTGTTCTGACCAGATGTATTGTACTCTGTGTACAAGCTACTGTATATCATCTATAATTTGAAATATCTTCCCTAATACCAAGATTAGGTTTCTGAATGCCAGAGAATGCGAGCGCTCAGATGTCGAAGTGACATGGAAACCGCATACCATCCATCTCAGTCATAGATAGCAACTAGCTCCATACCAGTGTGTTACATACAAAATGCAACTTTATTAACCTTCATGCCTCCATTCATATTAATATACATGTATATGTTTGAACTTATTTTAATTTCACAGCTCCATCCATATGAAAAATACAGAGAAAAAGGCAAAACACTGACTGGATACTTAAACAACTCTTGGAGAAAAGAAAATCGTAACAGAAAAAAAAGGACACCTGTTCTTGAATTTTTGAAAAATATCAGGATTAAAAATTTCTTTTACATTTGTGGAATTCCATGAGCAGAATCTCCCTTTTTAAGCGATGCTGAGCAATATCACAATTTTTTTTTTTTTTCACGGTAAGAATGAAAAGATCTGAATATATTTACACTACACTCACTTTACATAAATACAGGAACAACGATTACTGTACGTAATATCAGCAAACTTGAAACATAGGCATTGGCTTCACTACTTACATTTTTAAAACCAAGAAATCAAAAGCAGATGTTACACAGAAAGTAAAATAGATATTGAACTGATAGAGACGTGTAAGATCAGTATTCATTAACAAAGGCGTTGCTTTACAGCCCTCATCCAGCCACAAGACTCCTCATTATCCTCCATGATGAATTCATGGGATGAAACATAGAGGCCTTTGTAACTCCGTTTTTTCCCCTTAGAGGAAGTGACTTATTGCAAGCAAAGTAATAACGTGAGCTATAAACAGCCTGTGAAAGTGTTATGGGAAGATGCTGCATTTGACACAATGGCATAAGGCTCAGTGCGAAAAATAAAAGTTAAATGTTAAAGGTCCGACTTGCATAATGTTGTCTGTGCTTTTGTTTTAAAAATGTATGGTTTCCCATTAGATAGTTATTAATTTGAGCACGCATGTTAAAATCCAAACTCTGCCCAGAGCGTTTGATATTACAAGTTTGCAATATGAGGCACTATTCATTATTATTGCATAACTTTGACCCTGGTAACCGTTACAAAATTATGCTTTAAAATGAGGAAAGAGATGCTGAAGGGAAATATAACACACCCTGTCCTGTGGACCTAGATCGTCCTGTCCATGTTCAAGTCTAATTTAATCGAGTTTTAAGGCAATCATCGTCATACACTGAATACGAGACGTGTTGATATGTGCTTGATCATAGAATTTCTTGTCCGGGTATAGCAAAATAGCAACATAGGGAATCGAGTACCTTATTACGGTCAATGTATATAAATAATTTGTTGTTAAAAGCAAACACTGGTTCAGCCTTGGGAATAAAAATGATTTGATCATGAACTTATTAAACCACAAACCAAAGAAAGCAAACCGTTCTATAACATCACATATGATCATTTACACGATGGATACAATAAGCCCCATTTCACTGTATATCAAATTAGATAAATTACAGTCTCTGAAAAAAAGACTTTACATGTATAAATGTATCTCCTGCATCTACTAATCAAAAGCCCTATTTTTCCAATGTATATACAGGCTGTAGAACTTTGTAATAAGTGTTATCTTCACTATCACATATATTACAACATTTCAAAAGATCCTTTTTACAGAAGAAAAAGAGTTATATGCAAAGATGAAGTGCCCCTCGACAATAAAATGTTTCTTATACATTATATGGAGGATAAAATATGATGATGACTATTTGTTTATAAATTGACATCTGAAATAAAATAATTTGAAAATCATACTATTAAACAAACAAGGTGCTGATATGCTTTTTTGCCAAAATGATAATACAACTGGGCATAATGACATGTGCGCAAATAATATATATAAATAATGATAACTTACATTACCATTCTTCGTTACATCAGACGGGGTCACATACATTTGGTGCATGTGTGGAAATGACTTCCTGGATTTAGCTACTTCACTGAAGGTGAGGATGTTCAATGCAAAGTGTGTGTTTAAATGTGTGTGAGTGTGTGTGTTTTCAAGGTGCTATTATCAGAAGGGTTGCCATTTCTTTTTACTGGCTTCGGTCCAATGAATGCATTTAGCAGCACTATCAAATATTATGGGATGGCCTGATGCTTTGAGTTTATGTCTGCAGGTCATACACAGCATTAAGAGAATTGGAAATACTTGCAGAAATATCTGTTATTATGACTATAAAAAAACTCTTTAATTTAATGTCCTGATTAAAGTTAAGTGATGTTCTCGAAGAGAGTACTGCCAGTAACCGCATCTAAAATGTAGAAGTATTTTACAAGCATATTGTATTTATGTTTTTAAGTATGCATGTGAATTCCCCCCATTTTTCAGCATTTGTTATAGCCAAATCTCAGGTAAATCAGAAAACATATATCTGGTCTGAGGTGAGAACATTTCAAGTGATTTTCTGTATTCGAGACAAACTAAATGATTGGGAGTAACTCACTAACGTAGACACGTCAGATTAGAGCCTTGTGCTGGAGCTAGGGACCAATCAAACGGAGGGAGTCGTGGTACAGAGAGAAGAGTTGGCCCAGTTAGAAACTTCTCCTCCGATATTGACATCAGCAAAAAGAACAAAGAGGAGGTTGCCGTTCCTTCTCATCACTTTGTTCAGTAATGTATTGCCCACCTGTATTGTACATCAGGTAGCACACTATCCCTGTAACACTGCTCCTGTGTCAGTTTCAGCTTATGGTCAAGTGCCGCTGTGCAAAACCACAACGCAAGTTCCTTTCACTGTCAAACCCAGCTGAGAAAACAGAGCTGAATAATAAAAAAACAAGATCAATCGGGACAGAATGAAAGCGTGAGTCTGTAAGGTGCCTCTGTTTTTTTTTTTCACATACTGGAAATCTCCTCTGATTGTTTCAAGTTCACTGTACATGAGGGGTTGTATTATTCTGAGTCAAACATAAGCAATAAGCAGGCATACAAAAAAAGAAGTAAGATTCAATAAACAAAAAGTTGTCATACTAAAAGTATATTTATCCTTAAAGATTGCACTTTACTGATTGCTAATCACAGCACAAATTCCACCAAAGATTTTTTTTTAAAGAAATGCTTTCAAGAGGCTCAACATAAAGAGTAGCACTGATGAGATTTGGGGTGGTCCGGCCCTGTGAGCAGGTCATAAACGGTGTGTTTCTTTGCTGGTGTGATGACATGAGTGTCCAGTTATTACTGTTTCGAATTAAGTAATTAAAATCTATGAAAGTAGATGTGTTGAGGAGGTTGATCCATTCATATTGTGGCTTTTGAAGTCATTTACTGTTAGCTGGCAATGAGACAGGTGAAAGTCCAGCCCTCTTTTAGCTTCCATATAGAAAGCCTCAGATAAAACAGCTCCAGCAAGCGAAGAAAAAACCATCCGTGATGAAAGGACACCCTCTGCTGGTCACAAATCTGACTCACAGGGAGGCACGGTGCAACAATACTGCCTGTAACTCCAACTAGGCCCAAGTCCTTTCCTGTGATCCGGTCCAGGCCTAACTCCTTTCTGCTCGCACAGGAAATCCACTCCAAACAATGGGGTCTTTCACATTATGAACGCTGGAAAAGCAGCTGTTTGAAGAATAATGAAAGGAAAGATACGAAAAAGAGACCGCCGCACTTGCATTATATATTTTTTTCGTCCAAATAAAGAGTGCGAGTTCTTCTTTAAAAATCAAAGTGAGACATTTACAAACAGTGCTGTAAAAGACAGTTCCGTATTATACTCCAAAGATCAACAATAATAGATCTGCCGTCTTTTCCTTCCAACCCGGAGAGGATCCAGAAGTGACCCTGTTTTGTGCTCCACAAGCTCTGTGCTTCTTCTTCTTCTCTCCTCATGACGGATGAGAGAGTGTTTGTGTGTGTGTGTGTGTGTGTGTGTGTGTGTGTGTGTGTGTGCGTATGTATGTGTACATGTGTGCGTCCAGGCCAGCTGTAAAACATTCATAGGGAGATCCGGCTCCCCCGGCTGCCTGTTTGTGTGTGCCTGTTGTTGATCTCTTTTCTCTCTCTTTCCATTCCTCTTTATCTCTCTCCGTCTGATTCACACCAGCATGTGTCTCCGCCGGTGCAGGGCCAAGTGGTCGGATCTGGAGAAGCTGCGGTCACAGTCTGCGCACTTAAAGGGCTTCACCCCTGTGTGTTTTCTGTAATGCCTCGTCAGCTCATCAGAGCGGGCAAACTTCCACGTGCAGCCGTCCCAGGTGCATTTGTATGGCTTTTCCCCTGCAGAGGAACACAGAGAACAGTCAGAAGCTTGTACACCACATGTTCAGTATGTTACTCAGTAGGAAGCACACTTTGGCCTTGATGCTTTATTTATAATGATATGTCTTCCATCATTTGGAAACTTAGCTAAAAGCCAAAACATTTAAGGTATTGTATGATCAGAACATTTTCAAAGCTCAAATATCACAATTCCTCGCAGCAAATCTATTGCTCATAAAAGTCTTATTCATATTTTGTCTTATTGTCGCTTTTATTTTGTTTAGGTGAACCACAGCTGTGTTTCTGCAGGTATTTGTTCCCTTGCCCACAAGCTTTTCAGTTGGTAGCTAAAACTCCTTTCTTTAAAGTCATCTAAGTATATAACAATAACTTGATATTCATTTCCACATTCAGTCTGGCCCATGGCATTTGCTCACACATCAACAATAATGAGTTTCGGCATTTAAATGTCATTACTGCTGACAAAGTGAGCAAAATACATGATAAACAAAATCAGAGCACTGACCTGTATGCGTCCTCCGGTGTGCTTTTAAGTGGGAGCTTTTGGTGTACACCTTATTGCAGCCCTCAAAGTCACATCTGTGAATTCTTCTCTTTTTTGAATCTGGTGACTCTGACCTCCGGGGGCGTCGTATGCTTTCAATACAGAACGGGGACATGGAACTGCAACGGGAGAATAAGAATAAACATTAAAGCATTATTACACTGTGACAATAGCATTAGTACTTTCATACTAACATACTAAGCAGTATGTAGTGTATTCATACTTAAAAAGAGACACATAAAGCATACTCAAACCTATTCACATACATTGTTCAGCTCATTCGTTTTCTATGTGCATTGCAAAGGTTCAAAGAGTGTAGTTTCATTAACTGATCATTTACTTACATGAACTTCCCTTCCCCCAAACACCAGAGTTTGGAAGTAACTAAGTAAATGTACTCAAGTACTGTACTTAAGTAACATTTTAAAGATACTTGTTCTTTACTCGAGTATTTCCATGTTATGCTACTTTGTACTTCATCTTCATTGCAATTCAAAGGTAAATCATGTACTTGTACTTATTTTCTACCTTAAGTTACTTTACAGATTTTGATTAATGGTATGAAATATAATCAAGACTTAAATGAGACTTTAGTTACACCTGGAGTAACATTAAAAAACGACCCTGCAGTATACAAAGTAATTAAAACTAGATGCACCTTTACCAGCTTTGATAAACACTTTAATGCATCAATACTTACAAAATATATACATTATTCTGAAATGTACCAATTTGCATAACGATTACTTTTAGTGCTAATACTTTTGTACTTTTACTTGAATAACATTTTGAATGCAGGACTTCTACTTGTAAGAGAGTATTTCTAGACTTTGGTACTCCTACTTTCACTCAAGTACAAGATTTGAGTACTTCTCCCATCCCTGCCAAACACTAACAGTAGGTACTAACTGCAGTAAACAGCAAGGATGTATTCATGGTAAAAAATAACCCTGAGAAGAAGTGGAGCAGTATCTTTGCCAGCAGGTGGCAGTGCAGCACTGCTCCACGGTAAACAGAGGAAGCAGATGAGGTAAGAAGGATGGTATTCGTATTGCCCGAACACTTCCATGAATCATAGGTGGAGGGATAACGGAGTTTTATCTCAATGTTGTTCAGCGAGGTTAATGACTCCTGAGTTATATCGGCCATCAATACATTTAGGCATGACATTTCCTCTCCATTAACTAGTCAATATCACTGTTGATTATATCATGTGTCACTTTGGAATGTGTTTGTGTGCTTTTGCATGCAATACGTATACTGTACTTGTAAGTGTTTGCAGTCTCATTGCTGTGGCAAATGTTTAGTCTGTGCATGTAACACTTCTCTAAATCACACACAGACATACAGGAAGATAAAACAGAAGCTATGGTTGTGGTAGATGGTCAGTAGTTAATGTCTCATGTTCATCAATGAGCATATTTTACATGGGTAACAACTCATGACTACTGCACACACACAACAAATAGGCAGGAAAGACACAAGAACATCTCTGTTTACTGGAAGGGAGGAGTAATATTTGCGGGATATATCTAACGGGGCTCTGTCAGCAGTAATGGAGCACAGTTGCTTTTCTTCCAGGTCTCAGAGACTGCTGTGAATATTGAGAAACGGATAAGAGGGTGAAGAGGAGGAAGAGGAAGGAGTGAGCGTACGAAAGGAAAAGCTTGGGCCGTGTCAGATTTGAGAGGAGCAGGGTCTGCCAGACAGGCCTGCAGTGAACTGTCTCCACCACACATAACCCACTTCCTGTCTCTCAGTGTTTCACCGAAGCACCATTCGTCAAATGCAGACTCAGATATAGATGCATGCAATCATGATACACACAGGCCAGACAAATACACAAAACGACAGAAAAACACATACATACAGATAACCCGTTGCTCTTGGCTTACTGCCAAACTGAAGCTGTACAGGAAATGAACACACGGGTCAGATATGAAGTGGACTCTCTCCCTATTGCTTCAACCCCCCCCCCCCCTCACTGTGTCTGAGTTCAGAAAATATCTCACTGAACATGCAAGAAAGTATATCCATAAAGTTTAAAGTATACAGTTTTAATTAGAAATGATTGATGAGAGTACCGGGCCATCCACTAATCTAACAGAGAAATGCAGACACTCATTTATAATCTAAGGTACTGTTGGCCTCTGTATGTGTGTGTGTGTGTGTGTGTGTGTGTGTGTGTGTGTGTGTGTGTGTGTGTGTGTGTGTGTGTGTGTGTGTGTGTGTGTGTGTGTGTGTGTGTGTGTGTGTGTGTGTGTGTGTGTGTGTGTGTGTGTGTGTGTGTGTGTGTGTGTGTGTGTGTGTGTGTGTGTGTGTGTGTGGAGACCGGTGGAGACAGGCTTTATAGAGGAAACTCTATACTCAGACATCTAGCAGATGAGGCGGTGTTTACATTCTGACTTCATCCATGACGTAACTCCATGATTATGACGTAAATTATTGAGATCCGAGTACAACAAGTTCTAAAAACAGAGACTCATTATTCATCACTAACTAATTGATTTAACATGCAACAACTGTTTATCCTCTTCTGGTGACAATGATGTTGTCATCACTGCTCCATTTCAAGAGGTTGGTGAAAGAATTCATTTTGGGTATTAATAGAATTTTCCCACTGAGACATTACCAACAAAACCGAGGTAATCAGTTATACTTCCAAATCCACGTTTATGAAATGAAACTTCCTCACAACTGAAAGGTACCTGAATTACATGAGTGAAAATTAAAAAATTAAATAAAATCAATAATATTTCCTTCTGAGCCACAAAGGCATTGTATCACTCCAAACCTGGGTTTTCAATTATAAGTCAAACAACATTTTGAGGAAACTGGTATGGCATTATTCAGCATTACATTACATTACATTACATTGCATTTAGCTGACGCTTTTATCCAAAGCGACTTACAATAAGTGCATTCGACCAGGAAGACACAACCTTGAAGAAAACAGAATCATATAAGTACATCAGGTTTCATAGAGCCAAACATTTCAAGTGCTACTCAACTGGCTTTAGATAAGCCAGCCTTTAATAGTATATAAGTGCTTTGTTAATAAATCTATCGCTCGAAGTGGAGTCGAAAGAGATGAGTTTTCAGTTTGCGCCGGAAGATGTGCAAGCTATCTGCTGTCCTGATGTCAATGGGGAGCTCATTCCACCATCTTGGAGCCAGGATAGCAAACCCACGTGTTTTTGCTGTTCAGCATTATCTTTACATACAAGGCTGCAAATAATTAATAAGATATCTGGCTAATAAATCAACAATGAAAACAATGTTTGCTAAAGTCTTAAGTGAGCATTAAATAAAAGATATTCAATGTTTTGGAGAAAAAAAAGTTTTTAACTGCAGTTTATGGATGTTCATGCTTCTCTTCGCGTTGAGAAAGTTGCGCCACAACTGGTCTGTTATGCTTAATTTCTAAAAGATGCTACTATTAGTGTTAAGTTGACATTTATATAAGTGTGCTAATGCAAATGTCAAAGATCAACTTGCTCATAATTGATGAACTGGTGCATTTAAAACATATCAGCCAATAGAGATGCACTCGTTCACATTTAAAGGTAAAAGTATCGTTATTATAACTTGAAGGATTATAGGTTGTAGTTTGATTTTGGGATGGGCTGAGTAAATGTCCTAATTTAGGAAACAAAAAGGGGGGGAAATCTATAGAAAACAATAACGTTTCTGAGTAATGTGTAGTCCTATTTATACGAATAAACAATACGTATTTATGTTTTTACTGACACAACTTAGGCAATATGTCTTGTAGCGGTTTTGTGAGAATCGATTCGTTGTATTTCCTCATGTGAGCCCAGCGGCAGACTCACCCTGCCTTGAACTCTGTGTCACAGCGGCATCACGGCTGTGTGAATGTGTCTGTTTGTGTGTCCCAAAGCAGCCGCGAGAAATAGGAAGTACAGCTGAGAACGATTTCAGACAGAGCTGACCTCTGTTTTCGCTCCTTTGTTTCCCCTTTTTTTTTTCCACGTCTTCATCCGACTCTCTCAACGAGTGAAAACGAGAGAAGGACTGCGTGTCACCTGCAGCAGGGGTTTCCCACAATGCACAACACAATACATATTTTTTCAACTCCTCATAGGAAACAGGGTCAAAACAACAGACCGTGTAAACACAGCAACGGTGCGACGTGGTCTTTAAACGGACCTAGAGTAAAAGTGGACGTATCGAGAAAACAGGAAAGGGTGTGTGTGTGTGTGTGTGTGTGTGTGTGTGTGTGTGTGTGTGTGTGTGTGTGTGTGTGTGTGTGTGTGTGTGTGTGTATGTGTGTGTGTGTGTGTGTGTGTGTCAAACTGGAAGACTGCCCACTGGGCATTCCTGTACCTGTCCGAGGACACTACCCCTAGCCTATCCCCCCCCCCCTTCCTCCACCTGCTCTGCTCCATGGCCTCTGGGTCCTTGGGGACAAGCCAGACTTCAGCAGAGCAAACCCTTCCAACACAAGCCCCTAAAACCAAACACACACACACCTACACTCCCTCTCCTGTCTTCCTCTCTTTCACTCGTGCTCTCCCACAATAGCCTATCCACCCGTCCCCAGGGAAACACATGAATATGGAAGAGGCTGCCCAAGAAGCACATGACACACACACTCTCCCTCTATCTCACTCTCTCCTTTCACTCATTTATTTATATATGGATACCTGGATTGGAGGCTGTAGGCACTCCCATCCTCCGCCCTAACACTTCTCTACTCAGATGCTGACTGCTTGTGTAAATGTGGATACTCAATTACATAAAGCAAATCTTTCCTCCTTGGGATTTAACCTTTTTTTAATACAGCAGAAAAATGGACTGATATGTTTCAAAGAAGTGATTCTGTTGCACTGCAGATATCCATAAAGTGCATTTGTGTGTCAACACAGAATGCACATTCTTCCTCTATGGAAGCGTGTAACTCAAGAAGACTACAGACTGCTTTGTTTTTCCCAGACAAACATGCAAGTCTGTGTTCCTGTTGACAATGGCTGACCTCCTTCTGGAACCAGCTGTTCTGTCCACTGTGCAGAAACACTTGCGTGCATACAGTACAAAAACACATACACCGGAGGATTAATAGTTACGGACGTGCGCACATACTTTTTCTACACAGCACAGTCCGCACTTTGCAAACAGAGAAGTGAGTGTGTGGGCAGGCCCTGGCAGGGCATTGCTAAGCCCGGCTGGTGATTTCTCTCCATAGTGAAAGCTTGGGCAGTGAAACATGGGTCCTGCCAACCTCTGTTCTTCTCTGACCACCCGGTGCCCACGTGTGGCACTCAGGGGCATGCCTGTCCCTTTCAATAACCTGCATTGAAACCTGAGTCCTCCAGTGTGTGTGTGTGTGTGTGTGTGTGTGTGTGTGTGTGTGTGTGTGTGTGTGTGTGTGTGTGCGTGCGTGCGTGTGCGTGTGCGTGTGTGTGTGTGTGTGTGTGTATCCTCCCTGAAACATGGCAACCTCGACTTGTACCACTGAACGAACACAGCCAGAGAACGAATCTTCACCACAATGTGTTGTACAGTGCCACCACAATTACTCATTTAGTTTCATGACTGTACATGTTCACAAAGCCAGCAATGCTCTGTAAACAACACAATGTCTTGTTACAATGTCAACCCCATAAGCTGGAATGCTACATCCAAAAAACACAGCCGTCAGCCTCAGCCTTGTTAATGTTGCTACATCATTAGCAGGATTTTCACAGGAGTCTCTGAATAGTTTCCTTACAGTTAGTCTAAATAAAAAGTCCAATGGGCATTAGCTTGAGTCTGGCCAGGCTGCTGGATATGACTGTTCTGAGTTTATGGGCAGAAGGGGAGGAGGGCAAGGCCGAGCCAAGTGTTTTTCTGTGTCTTATTTCCTGTTACTGATCAGGATTCTGTGAGCTGTCATCCACTGGAGAGGCAAGACTTTACTGTCAACACAGATGGACTGGCACCGCAGGAGTTGTGATGTCTGGGCTTAAAGTATATCTGAGCCTTATGCATACAGGCATATAGATGCACTCCCACACAGATACATCCAAATGTGGAAGGGCAGCCACAAAAGCACTCAGAAATGCACAATGCTGGGTTTTATACTGGGTTTATATATAAATGATGCTATCATACAAGGGGACTGACAATGAGCACTGCCAGGGGAAATATTTGAAACCTCTGTACTGTGAACTCCGTAATGCCAGAGCTCTGATTATTTTACTTTATGTTCATTGTACTTTTAAAATGTGTAGGTTTTATACAAACTGTCGAAAACTTGTATGCTGTTACACGTATTTTACAATCCCTCTTAAAAAGGTCATAATTTCTTTGAATAAGACATGTTGCTAATATTTTAGAAACAAAACAGCTCGATAAACCTGAAAGTGTTTTTAAAAATACATTTACTATTAAAATGTGAGCAGTGAGATGTACTCCCTTTGGGGTGGGTTTATCCTATATAATTGATGAGCAATTTCAAGAAGCACTTATCTTATTAAATAACTAAATTGTGATTTTTGGGTGAGTGATCGAAGGAAAGTTAGTCTTAGTAAATGAAAAACTTTCTCCAACACTAAGAATACTTTAACAGCAGACCAAATTGAAACTCCTATAACACCAAACTTTACAGCTGCCAACAGTGAAGCGTGTTTGGATCAAGACCACACTTCCCAAACATCATCCTGTGACAACATAGAACAGAAATAACTGCTCAAGACAGAGAGAGGATTTTTTTTTGTTAGGGTCAGTAGAAGAGAAAAAGTCAGTGTAGAGACTCAACATTTCCACACACAGGTGTACAGATCATGATACTCACTCTTGTACGGCGCGGGCTATAGACAGCGCAGTGGAGCCGGTCTCATTAACACTGTCCAAGGTCACGTTTGGCAGGTCGTCGTCGTCACTGTCACTCTTGATCTGCCTTGGCGACAGGCCGTTGTGGTCTGTGTGTGCTGTGAGAACAGGACACAGACACAGGAGTCAGTGGGGACAGTTGTTGGTTGCATGTGTGTGAGTGTGAATACAGAATGCCCAAGTTTAAAGTATGTGTGTATGCACTGTGTCTGCTCTCTGTTCCCCTGCTGGTGCAACTGACAGGGAATCATATTCAAGATAATGACAAACTTTCACATAAAAGGCCTGAAGACAACACAAAAGTCTAAATCCACCCATTAACTGTTTGTTCTCTTCCTGGTAGTTAGCAAACTAGCTTCCTCCCTTCTTAGATTATTCTCTTTTGCACAGTAACCAAGAAGAAAAACATGCACCATCAACACTTCTGAGCCTCTGAGCCAGTGAGCGCAGGGGTCTCTTGTCCCTTGAGCTGCATGACAAACTAACATCTACTCCACAAGTTGTGACAACTTCTCCCCTGGACAACTCATTGGATATATTGCCAGAGCCTGCAGCCGTTCTGTCCTCTCGGTCTCCATGGACACCGGCTGCGTACATTCTGGGTAGCTCAAGAGATGAATGTCAAAAAATATATAAACCTGTCACAGACTACCTGTCAAATAAAAATGGATGGATATCCACTGGATTGAACATTTTAACATTTTGAAAAATACAGAGGAATACACAACTTGGAAATAGTCTACTATGTTAAATATTGAATAACTCTTCATGGTTCTGATGTATTCATCACCAAAACCCAATATACCTACAGTATAGTGATTCGCTTTCAGCTGAAATCTGTGACATCCCCTGTACGCCTGATGCTTTTATAAAAGCTATTAGGACTTCCACCTCCTCTGCCCTCTCAGCCGAGACTGTGGTCATAATGGCCCATAATAAGGGTCTAGAGTTGGGAGCAGACATGGTGTTATTACTGGGGGAGGGGTTAATGCTGTAACTCTGCTGGAGCCTTTGCTTTAAAGGTTTCCAAACTGTTGTCGTAGACTAAGACATGCAGAGTGGTCACCAGCTCGCCTACCCTATGGAAAACCTGTAATTAACTAGAAGTGCTCCGTGTGTTAGAAAGGGGTATTTTGAGCGAGGGACACAAAAGGAGGAGTAGTGGAGAGGTGGGCAGAGCACCGGATTTCTTTCTTTCTCTCCTGTTGTTTCCAGTCAAGCCCTGTTTCCATGGCAACCTCCTGCCGGAGACAGGGAGACAGCAGTGAAAGGAAGGGTACCCGCCCTCTCTTATAGAGGATGGCCAACCTGAGTGTGAGTGTGTGTGTGCGCGTGTGGGTGAGTGGTAGTTGTGTGTATATGTGAGTGCATGAAAGTGTTTTGTATCTGTGTTGAAAGCTTCAGTATGACTGCGACTTGCATCACTGCACATGATTGTTCAGTTTAAACCATGTCAAACAAGGAAAATCTGGGCTGTTGACCCTCACATTAACTTCCTATTTGAGGGGAGTGCGCTTTAGATAAAGACTCTACCACTAAAACAATAGAGACACCTGAAAAGGAAAACGTTCATATAAAATGGAAACAGAAAAATCGACTTAAATTCAAACAACAATATAATGAATTGTAACACTTTGTTTGTATATTATCATTTGATTGTGAAATCTTATGTCTCCTTAAGTCACATGAGTTACCAGAAATAGCTGGATGTTCTGTTTGTCTTCTGGTTGCGATGTGATTAAAAGTGACTGTATCCACCACACCCAACAGTCACACTCGTTCACCCCATTTCCTTTGTGCTTTGTGCTTTCACTGCATGGTAGAGCTGTTGTTGGACTGTGTACATGTGTGCGTGCATGTGTTTGTGTAAGTGCCACCCATCTTCAATATCCATCCACACCCTCTTATGCAAGCCTTGTTTTTCCTGTCCGTCCTTCTTTCCTCTTCTCTCCCAGGGAGCCGACATACAGTAAAACGCCCATCTCTAAGGGGACCACCACACCCATCCGACAAGTGTCTTTCTGACTACATAATCTAATTACACATGTTTGCTTTGAGTGTACGGTACATGCTCTGGTGTGAGCTTAAAAGTCTAAGTTTGTCCGTCCATCCTGCAAGGAATGTCAAGAAGCAACCTCTTTTTACGACCAACAGTTGGCCTGTGTACGGCTCACAGAGTTGGACAGAAACACCTTCTGTAGGCTCACTCCCAGTGGTTGGCAGTAACACCACACCCCGAGAGAAAACCAATAACACAGTCTAGCCCAGGCCAGAGACGTCTAATACTGAAACTGTCCCGGATGTTTGCTTCTCCATAGAAAGAAAGTAAACAACTGGTGTGGACCTGAACCAGAAGCTTTTAAAGACAGCCAAGATGGGAGAGCCTTTCAACCTGTTAACCTCATCTTCACTTTAAGAAGGGAACATTATTACCTGAGAGGCCACTTCTAAAAGAAAGCAAACGCACTCTCCTTTCACACAGTCATGCCCACTGTTGACATTAGACAGGAGGACATCTGGACAGACAAATATACCAGCGTAAACAGCTTGTCATTGGGATATATCAAGACTAAAAGCATAGATATTTCATTCTTCATTGCCTCATGCCAGCATTACCTGCCTTTGTCATCCCTTGTTTTTGTCAAGGCATCCCAATGTGATCAGACATGGATCATCTTTTATTCCATTTATGAAAAGGTTTCCAAATATTCATGTCTTGAGGGTGTTCAATTAATTTGTGGAGGCTGTTAGTTACCCCCTGAGCAGGAAACTAATTGAGGTGTATTGTGATGGTTGAAAGCTGATAAGTGAAAAATAATCAACAATTTTCATATAGATGATTATTTTCTTATCTTCTAAATAAACTTCCTCACTAAGTGGAGAAACTGTCTATAAAACTTCGAGATAGGTCAGACAGGTTAAGTTGAAATTTAAATCAATATAATACAGAAGGCGCAACGCATGCATTCTGATTCACAATGCGTCATAATTTCCTTCACAGTGCTCGACTATCAGTGCTGAGAAGTAGCTGGAAATTATAGCTTTTCGAAGTGCATGTGATGAAAATTCATGATCTCACCTTTGCCCTGTCTCTTCACCTCCTCCAGTAGAGGTAGCATGATGGCGTTGTTGAGTCTGGAGGGCGATCGAATGGCAGTGGTGTACATGAGGGGCAGCGACTGCACCACAACAGGGATGCGGTGAACATGGCTGACCAGCTTCCCTGCTCCCTGCAGGCTCAGAGGGCTGGATGGAGGCTGCGGCACAGAGTGCAGGATGTGCAAATACGGCTGACCTCTGACCCCGCTGCCGGGGGTGACCAGAGGGCCCGGCGTGAGCAGCGACGAGGCTGAGGTGATCACCGATGGAGACGAGGAGGAGGAGGAGGATGACGACGATAAAGAAGACGGGGAGAAAGCGTATCTGAGAGGGGAAGATGATGAGGTGGTGCTAGGGGTGGTGGATAGAGAGGAGGGGCGGGGTTTGTTGATTGACAGGTCGACAGGCTCGGTCTGTGTGTGGAAGTGCAGGTCGTGAGCGAGCAGGTCTTCTGGAGGTTCAGATTTAACTCTGCTGAGGAAGAAGGGGACGCCGTCCATCACAGAGTAAGGGCGCACTTTAGGTGACTGTGGGAGTCAAAAAGAGATTAATGTTAGATTTTTCCCCCAATCATTCATTTTTGTCATTTGAATGCCTTGAAAGTGCACTAGACTGCTACATACCACAGGGTATACATATGTAAGTAACACTAGCTGTCTACAATCAATTAATTCATGGCATAACATGTCATATTACTACTGTTATAACAATTATCTCTTTAATAAGTCAGGCCAGAAAGTGATATGTTAATGATTTCACTTGAATGATGATTATGTTTGTACAAGTATTGAGCTTCAGAAACCATAATGTTGCCTGCTAGTGATATGTTAGAAAGGTATGTGAAGTGACTTTTATTGAGATAAGAGCAATTAATATCCTCATGTTCATTCAAGCATTCAACTCCTTCTTGGTTAGCATGATGTCACTCACAGATGAAACGCAGGAGGAGTAGTGTCTCTCACACTCGCCTCCGCTCATCGTCTACTTTCTGTCTTTCTTTTCTCTTGGCGTGGGTTTCTCTATCTCTCTCCCTCCCTCTCCATCTCTTTCTGTTCCTCCTGTTTTCCATCACTCCCACAGAAAAAGCAGCTCTCTTGGCTCCCCTTATATCTCTCCTAAATCTCCTTTGTGACGGTGGAAAAACATCATATGGGCTCAATTTCCTGACCGTCTCCCTGTCTCTCACTGATGGGCCTCCTAAGGCCAACGCTGGTGGCTCAGAGTATCCCTCAGCACATCTTTCACCTAACACCAAGCAGACTGAAACACAACCGCCCCATCTGTCTGCACAAGTTTCAGGAAACTGTTTACTTGGAAAAGATAATGAAAAACATAGACAGTAGAAAGACAACACTATGCTACTAGTTGTCTTTTTCCAAACTCTTTCATATCATAATGGTTGTTGTTAAAATGAACCATTTAAGATGTGCTTGTGTAGATCTAGACTCACTATTTTATTTGGGAGGGGTTCTAGAGAGTGTGGTGTTGATCCTCACACTGGAGCCTTTCAGAGGCTGAGTCACAGCTTAGGCCATCAGGCAGCGAGTACATCCAGGACTTTTTACTAATCATACAGGAAAAGCTCATTAAACTAAAGGGAAAAACTTGAAACCACATAGCTGTAGCAGATATGAAAAGTGTTCCACGGATTTTCATCCACACTTTTTTGAGACTCACATTTCTTTCCGCTTATGTAATGCTGGCTGAGAGTGGGTCTGTGGTGAATTATGAACCTTTCTGTTCTTTTATGTAGTAGCCTGCTATTTTTACTCTAGACTTGTATACTCGTTTTTGGCCTACAGGAAATGTTTCGACCCCATGAATCAAAAAGTGCTTCTCCCTTTGTAACTCCTCCTCAGTTGGAAAACAAACCCTACCACATGAAATATGCCCTCGGATGACATCTGGACATTTAGGGTTCAGCTCAGGGTCAGCCGTGTCAAGGTTAGAGTTCACAGTACATAATACCACCCACAAAGCTATTTGTTTTACATATCATGAGAATTTAAACTGTATCACAACTGAACAAAGCTAATTAACTCCAGTGTAAAACTTGGATGAGATGTTTATTTATGTTCGTGAGTCCATTGTGGACATTTCTTGTAGTACAGATCAGTCAGAGACAATTCTCTTAAGAAATCGACCATTTATAGGCTGTTATATTTGGTCTTTTTGAGGGAGCTCTCAAAAGATCCAACGAGAATTCTGCTGGGAGAACAACCCATCTTTTGAAAAAATAACTACATACATAACTATAACATAGCAAACACAACAACACTAAAATATTCAACACAGGAGGACTATGCAGCTGCAAATGGCTATACTTTTACACCTGTAAAATATGTTTGTACTTTAATAGCTGGATGGTAACTGGGCAGATATGAGCCACTGATAGTAAAGCATGATGCAAATCAGCTGATGCAAGCTCTACTTTTTACTCCGCCTAAATGTCTTCATTGTTGCAATTGTTTCGACTTGCTTTGGCTACACATAATGCTAATATATCCCTGTGGTGATGGTTAGGTTACGAGTCTGATGGGTGGAGAACCATGTGACATGGAGTTTTCAGAGAAAGAAAATAATTGTTCTCATTTTTATTCTGAAATAAAATTCTAATATGCTCAAGGATTCTAAGCAACATTATTTAAGTCACTGTTGACGGGGTTCTTTTAGCAGTCAGTGACACTATACTCTATGTCCCCCTACAAAATCCTCTGATCAATGGTTTGTAAACATAAAATATAACGGTAAAATTATGGGTTAGTCTATTCCTTTATGAGCAAAAAATCCCTCCCTTGGGCTATCTAATTGCTCATTTGATTTGTATTGCTAAATCTGCTAGCGATCTATCTATAGTATCAGTTCCATGGCTTTACCTAAAGAAATATTTCAAAAGAGATATCACTTAATTAAAAATAATATGCATGTTGTGATGTCAAATGTGGCTCTACATCTTATGCATCAACTCAACATGTAGCCTTTCTTGACAGACCCTCAGGCCATCATCCAGCTGCTTTAGCAAGGGTCTCTCTGTGTTTGCATGTTCCTTATAGGATGTGAGTGTCACGGACCGCCTGGAGCTAAACTGCCTCAAGGCTTTAAAGTCATTACATCTATTGAGGCTGATCTCAGTGTAGAAATCTTGTCTTTCGTACCAAGTGCTCTTAGAGTGTGTAGTTGGCTATGAAATTCTGCAGGATTGCCAGTTCTCCCTATAACAGGAAAAAGAGGAACTGAAAAAAAAAGATATTTGTGCCAATCACAAGTGGAGTCTGAATGCTGTTTAGTACTATTTTATGATTAACAAGAGATATGTTGTTGCAATCCTAAAATGTGATTGGCTAAGCCATGTTTGAAGCTATTCTGTTTAAAGTTTTGTGACAGCATCTTGCATGGTTTTAACGCTATAGTGGTGAAAAAATCTGTCCACTGACAGAAAAACAACTGAAAACTGCTTCTGTGGTACTTCCTGCAACCGAAAACAGTTTCCATGATGACACACATACAAGTCAAAGCAATATCTTCTTGCTGTCACTGCTGGTAATAAGGCACACAGAAATGTGGCATACTATTGTAATGCAGCAAACAGTCAGCTACAAATAACAGACTGTTAGCTAAGAGGTGCAAAAACACATTATAGAATAACCCAACAGTGTCTTGCAGTTGTTATTATTGGCACCTAGGCCTACTTGATTGAGAATAATTGAGTATAAGACATCAAGCGTGTGAAGCAGTTGTTACTGAAGGTTAAAGGACATTATATTCTTATTTTCAGGTTCAAATGTTTATTTTGTGCCTCTACTGAGACATGTTTTCCTGCTTTAATGTTCAAAAAGGTCTTTATTTTTCTCATACTGCTACAGCACACCCCAGTCTGCTCCGATTGGTTAGCTGTTCAGCTCTGTTGTGATTGGTCAACCGCTTAGAGATGTCCCGCCTCTTAGCCATCACTTAGAATGTTATGGGGCGTTAGCCAATAGCCACAATTTAGTCACCATCTGATAGCATTGATGGAAAAATGAAGACTAGGAGTAAGGCTGTTTGCTCCTGAAAATGCAACTACTTTACTGTAATGTTATCTTGTCACTCCAATGAAGCAGTGGAGACACATCGAAACATCAATTCTCTATTGTAGTTTATTTTGAGCAACACAGGCTGTGTTCAATTCATTTGAACAAATGTTATGTTAGTTTGATTCTTTCTTTGAAAAAGTGACAGCCCTAATACCCAACCAATAATAAGTGGCAAAGCTCTCGAGAGGACTGAATTTAACTTTGTATTCGCATATAAAGGAATGTGCTATGTCATTATTCAAAAGAGTTAGGCTCACTTTGATTGTAGCCTTTCTGTTTGATGGAGTAGTTTATGACAACCTGTTCTACTTAAGCAAATCCTGTGTTGCTCCTGTGTAAAAAGGAGAACTTATGTGGAAAGGTCAAAACAACAGAGAGTATAGTGTTACAAAAAACAGAAATTTGATTTCGGTTCTCAGGAACATCTCAACCAGCCCAAATGGAAAACTGTAGCCGCCCCCTTCTCTCATTCTGACAGATACAAACACATGCATACACTCAAACCTACACATCCTCACACATGCTGACACACACATACAGATATGCTCGACCCGCCTGCCTCTGTCCACATGCCATTGTCTTTATTAGGGGATGCTGGTTAGCAGGGCAGATTTTCCAGCCTCTTGCTGGCGAATTGTCTAACAAGGCAGACCATTTCCAGCAAGCCCTTGGCCCCCCGCCACCCAAATGAAGACCACATTTCTGCAGCAGCCTAAACTGTCTGTCTGTGAGTCTGGAGTAAAGGGAAGCAAAGAGTGTAAGGGGAAGATTGGATCTCGGTGCACTTCAAAGCTGTGTGGGCTGCACTGCTCACATCCTGTCTGTGACTGACATCACTGCACGTATGGAGATAGACTTCAAAGCCCAGGTAATAGGTAGCATTTCGGGAGCACGGCTCTCAAACCCTTGAGCCACAGCTGAGAGCGGGACACCCAGAATGTGACCACCTGCTGCCTCTTGTCAAACCCTCAGACGTGGAGAGACAGATCTGATTCTTATCAATACAAAGCACCTACACAGCCAAACAATTCTCCACTGAGGAAACCTGATGGGCTATCAGCAGCTGGTATTTCCCTCATCCATCATCAGATTATGCTCTCCGTTTCGTCTCAACAGAAGAATAAAAAATGTTGCTCCTCTGCCACCGAATGCTCTTGGTGATATATTAGGAGGCAGGAAATTATTGATATGTTATGAATGGAAATCAATAATATCACAACACTAATTCATCATGACTACAAATATTAAGTGGCCTGCACACAGAGCTGTGGCAGCAACACAAAGCCCGTTGTAACCTAGCAACAGCTTCTCCATAACAAGACCACTTTATTTCTAGGTCTGTTGGACGAGAGAGCACTGGTACTGTATGTGGGCCCTTGAAACCTTGCATGAGGTGAATCCATTAGTGCTAACATGGTCAATTAGCAAAGTCCATTTGAACATAAAACTCGAAAATGACAAAAATTGTGAATATTTAAGAAAATAAATTCAAAGACATAACATTTCTGGTTCATATTCACATCGCACATCATTTTTGTGGTAACATTTAACTCCCCCCCCTGTGATAAATGCACATTAAGATATAGACACAGAGGTGACAATGTTAAAGAGTAAAGGCATGCATGGGATAGTGTAGAAAAAAGCTTTGATAAGTGTTTGCCGAGAAAGAGTATTTTGTTGCATCTGTCTTGTGTATATGTGTGTGTGAGCAAGATAAATTAATCATGTGTGTTTGTGAGAAGGAAGGGTCTGGGAGGATGAAGGAAAATTGAGAGACGTTAGAGGCAGGAACACACAGAGATGGATACGATTTAGATTTTCCCATGTGACCCTCCTCCCCGGAGCAGTGGCTACATCTGTGCAATCACCCCCAGCCAGCACGGACTGGCCCCCGTCACCTCCCCGAACCCCCCCCCCCATGCATTCCTGCTCCAGCTGTGGCTCTCCTCCTCTTCTCCTCTTCCTGCTTACTACCATGCTCTCCGACCACTCCTCTTAGCCCCCACACTCACTCTCTCACTCACTCACTTAGGCCTGGGAGTAATTATGAACCCATTGCCAGGAGGAGGAAAGACGGAAAGGAAAGCAGGAAAAGAAAAAAAAAGGAATTGTCTGGAAAACAACTGCTCTCTTACCCCTTGTTCCGAGTCCAGGGGCTCAGATTTGACTCGCACTGCAGGCATTCCGTCAAGCATTAACATCCTGTTTCTTAGGCTGCCTGCAAAAGGAAACAGAGGAGGTGTAAGACGGGTGTTTTAGCATGACTAAGCAGGTCCCACACTCAGTTATTCACACATGGACATCTATGATGTTGTGCCTACACCCACGGAGAGCAAACCACATTTTAAATAGACACAATTCATATTTCAAAAACCATCAGAAGCTGATGGGAAAAACATGCTCACAAACTGTGTAAACTCAGTCAATGCACAGCATGATTCAGACTTCTCCGTAACAACAACAATTCAATTGCCTGGTGGGCTGCAGCAGGACTAATAACACTTTATAATGCTGTCTATTTATAATGCTGACTAAAATCCTCTTAACACTTCAGTGGATTACAAATATTTGCTTTGTTATATAGTTACTCAACAGCACAGCCACACAACATGTTCTCCTTAACCACTGACATAAAAAACAATAATTGATACTTGGAACTAAAAACGTTTACCCCAGGGATTATATATTTATTTGGAGGACTACATGTACATACATGCAAACACACACTTATTGGTACATCTATACATCCATCCTTCCCTCTGCAACCTCTGAACACTGTGCCTATGCAAAGGAGGCAGCAGTGCCCGTCTCCTCAGCTCCGTGCTGTGGCTTTAAGAGGGATACTCGGATGGAGCCAATGACAACAATGCATGTTCCGTATCCCTGAGTCGGGGCCGACCTGAGGTAACCTTTTCTCTTATTATTTTAGCAGCAGTACATGGAGGAATGTAAGCAAGGCAAATAGTCTCTACACATCTCTATTATTCTGCACTGCTGGCACCAGCAGCAGGATGTGTGGCCCAATCCTGGAAACTAGCAGCACCAAAGCCACCATGACCATTCTTGTGCGGGAAAAAAAATAAATCACAAATTACTCTTTTTCCATCAAACTGTACTAACCATCTGAGTATCCGTGAGGCCTGGTGAATCATCATGATTTTTCATCCATGCAAGATAGAGAAAACATTTTTTCTTTTGTGATTTTAATAATAAAACTGTCACCAGACTAAGGGACAGTTTCATCCCAGTTTCATAAGACACATGAACTTTTGAAAAAACATCCATAACATTAATCTGTTTGCAACTTATATATATCAATATTCCAATTACTTTTATATAGACTATTCCGCACTATTTCTATTATATTCTATTTTATTTTATTTACTTGCACTATTTTATCTGTTTTATTGTATTGCACTGTTGGAGGAGCCTTTGACCTAAGGTTTTCATTGGCATAACTACACTGTAGCTATGTACAAATGACAATAAAAGCCTTGAATCCTAATTGCATGAAAAAAATTATTTAAAATCACATATTGTTCCACTACCTCGATTCTCAAGCAAAAGGCTAATCCTGACTGTTTGTGTGCGAGGGAGGCAGAGAAAGAGGGAGGATTTACTCTCTCAATCTGCAACCCCCCAGATCTCTCCTCTCAGGTCTAAGTCCCTCAGGTACCCTGGCTGTGCTGCTATTGTATTGTTGTCCAGGATGTCCTTCGGCTCCAGGTCTTGGTAGGCCCAGATAGTGTTGCCATAGTAACAGCTGGGGCGGGTGGAGCTGTAGCTTCAGTCCAGCCTCAAGCCATGTGGTGAGGAGAAGAAATGAGAGGAGGCAGAAAGTGAGGTTTGTTTTCCTCAAGATGACCATCATTCTGCCAGAGAAAAATTCTCCCTCTCAGAATTGTTTTAATGTTTTTACAAAAAGGAGTTTTCAGTTCAAATCAATATTTTTCTCACGGGGTGAATTTCACTTTGGCACAACATTCTTTTGGAGCCTCACAAAAAGTGTACCTCATTCAAACTTATTTGTTCTTTCTGCTTAATGTGCACACTCCCTTCAAATTAAATCATAACACGTCAACGTTGCACGCAGCGGCACATTCAGAATCGCTCATTTCTGAAAGTAACAACCTTTTCCAAGGTGTCCATTTAATCCAGTGGTGTGTGATCACCTTCTTAAGGAACTGGCCTGCAGAAAGCCATTTATTGGAAATCAATGGCCATTGCACATATGTGCTTGTGACTGTAATGACCAAAGAGCTAACAGCAGAGAGAGACCTAACACTGAGTAATGAGCCCACAGAGGGGCTCAGCCTGTCGAACAGGTCATGTCGAAACACTTCAACCAAAGTCATGTGTCAACTGCTTTTGTGTCCATGAAAGGAACATGTCTGCCAGTTAGTATTTCATGGTCTCAAATTAAAATGATATGGACAAAGATTTAGTTTGAAATGAAGAGGTAATAAACCAATGTGTAATCTCTATCACTAAATGTGGTCTGCTGTCGGCAGGCTTAGGCGACCAGCAGTGTGCTGTCCATCAGGAGCCTCTGTGTGTGGGATATGGAGAGAGGGAGGGGGTTAGAGGGAAACTGGGTAGATTAAGATCACCTTTCCATTTGCTGCACTCTGAAATGAAATGGCCATCCCAGGTGTGTGGGGGAGTTGGATGGAGAGAGGAGGGCAGTGGAGTGTTGAAGCATCTAATTTCTCTCTCCTGCCTGCCCTCCCATCCCCACCGAAATCCCTATAATGAAAAAAAATGAGGGTAAAGGGAGCAGGTAACAATTGGGGCTAGTTCTAACAGGAAAAATGTCCGAAATATACAAATGTCAGTGTCTGCTGCTCTTTCCGCTTTTCTGTTTGTGCTTATTGTGTGTCTGCAAATACATTTGAAAGTATGAATATACACATATATGACCTCGAGGTCCACAATCTCCAAGTTCCCTGATGGCTACCGCTGTGCTGATGGAGACGATAGCAACTATCGAGAGAAGGATAGAGCCTGGGCAAACCAACCCTGAACAGACTAGCTGGATCAATTGACGTGGCAAAGCTCTCTGAAACAAATGTTGACCTCATACATGAGTGACATCATCCACACTGACACACATATGTTAAGATTGGTCCAAACACATGCGCCACATTAACTCAAAATATCTCAAAGGAAAACATGTAAAACATACCAGTCAGTAAGAGCATGTTTAACTTTATCTCAGCATATGCGACTGTGAATAAATATACTGCATAACACAGCAAGAAAGACATGTATGTAAAAGAGAAAGTTAAGCTTGAACAAACTCATAAAATCAGATTTAGTATCTGGCTGTGTACCATCTCAGCTTTCTGTCTCATCCCTCTCTCTCTCTTATGTGCACACACACACACACACACCCACAGCACACACCCTGACACACACTGTAACAGACGGGCCCCTCCAATGCTTTGTTCCCATGTCGAGCGCCCAGAGCAACTGGGTGCATCTGTGTCACAGAGGCTGGACCTGCTGCCACGGACTGGGATGGAAGAAGGATGGAAAAAAGGAAGAGGGGAAGTGAAGGGAGCAATGAATTATGGGAGAAACATGAGGAAGTGTTAGGGAAGGTGATAGCAAGAGAAGTGAGTGAGGGTGGGGGCTCTTGAAGAGCACATAGTTGCTGGCAGGAGCAGCGGTTAGGGAAACAACTAAGGGGAGTTGAAGAGGTTGAGGAGGGGGGGAAGGGTGTTTAGTGGGGAGGAGGAGGAGGGGCAGGAGGCAGAGAAGCGAGAGAGGGTAGAGAGGGGATATGGACCGCCGCCAAGGCCCGGTCGAGCACAAAGCACACGGTGCAAGAATGCCAACAGACCCCCTCCCACCCGGTTCTCTAGCAAAAAGAAGAGAGGGGAAAAAAAGGAAAGCTATAGAAGGAAACTGCAAGGAAATGCTTCAAAATGTTGAAAATCAGAAACGAATTACAGTATCTAGTGCTGTGAGGGCAAGTGCATTAAATGGACAGAGCTTTTGAAGATGTGAGATGAGCATTTCCTGTGTTTGGCCGGTGTTTTGTGCCGCTGGCCTCTTTGCTGCGGCTCACTTCCCTCTTCTGTGCCCCTGGACACCCCGATGTGACACATTGGCCTGATAACCAGCCTACAACTGCTAACTCACCAGCACACTCCTCCCCTTCCTCTCTTTGAACTCACTCAGTGAAGCAACTTTTTAGTACTGAAAGCTAACCACCTTCACAACATGCGAAGAAATCACTTGCTAAAAAAAAGGTTGGGTGAGTGACACTTTGTAGACCCTTGAAAATAAAAGTCTAGAAATGAAACATTGATCTTGTTTGCTGTGTAGACACAATAGAGCCACAGCTGAATCACAGCTGATTTTCGATCTCAATCTGCTTCACGTTAAGCTGTGTGTGTTCATGACCTCATCTTGTTGGCCTCATTCTGTTCTTGAGAGCTCATTCAAATAGTTCCCTGCAGAGTTACTGCTTAAACAGTAACTGCACGCAGGCAAATAACAGCGGCTAATAACGGCGAGTGGTCGACTACTCAAGACTTGAACCGTTAACCAATCAAGGTCAGTGCTGCCGTATAACGCCAAAAGGCATTAACTACATGTTACATGTCTGTGTTTAAGACATCTGTTTCACTGTAAAACAAAAAAATATTGTGCAGTAGAAAACTGCCTTTAAAAAAAACAGTATTTATGTTAATGGCGGTAGAAAGAATAAAATTGACAACTTTTTCTGACCTTTTACCTGCTTTAACAAAAATCCTTTAGTAATTGATTTCTTTATACTGTATAATTAAGACAGTGGCTAATTGTTAGTGTAAGAAAGTTGTTAGTAACTCAAAGTGGCCTAACCTAGATGGCATTTTGGATTGTCGATATATACATACAGTTGCAAGAAAAAGTATGTGAACCCTTTGGATTCTTCACACATAGCGTTGTGTGTTCCTTCCAAACAACTCAACTTTGGTTTCATCTGTCCACAGAATATTTTGCCAGTAGTGCTGTGGAACATCCAGGTGCTCTTTTGCAAACTTCAAACATGCAGCCATGTTTTTTCTGGACAGCAGTGGCTTCCTCCGTGGTGTCCTCCCATGAACTCCATTCTTGTTCAGTGTTTTACGTATCGTAGATTCGTCAACAGAGATGTTAGCATGTGCCAGAGATTTCTTTAAGTCTCTAGCTGACACTCTAGGATTCTTCGTCACCTCATTGAGCATT